CACACGTGCCGTAAAATGTTACTTTTGGTTACATTTTGTTACATTTGGTAAGATTTTTGTACGTGTGAATCGGGTATTATTAGCCATTCCTAATGGCTTTTTTTTTTAAATAGCCCTTTAATGTATTTTTAATAAATTTACTTATACAGGTCTTCCTCCAATATTAAAGACCACTTTTGGGACCGGGAATTCCATGGTATTTAGTAGCTTTGACCTTTAATTAGAATAATAATGATAAAAGACATTTGTTAAAATGGGATGACTTTAGTTGGAGGTGGTCTCTAAGTGAAGGGGTATGTAATTAGAGAGAGATCTGTATTGAATTCTTTATTTGACTAAAATAAACAACAAAAAAAACCAAATGCTAAGGGAAAACTTTTAACAGGCCCACAGCTCCACCCTGGCAAAAGCTTCTGACACTACTCCAGCTAACAGCCTCACCATGCCCCTATCTAATAGCCCTACCCTTGCCAAAAGTTCTATCTCTAATGTACTAACAGCCACACCCTTGGCAATGGGAAAGGAATAGCTTCCATAGCTGTTGGCATGTCCATTAATAGTAATACAGTAGATTACATTATATCAAAATTTTTGGATCGTATCATTAAGTATAAAGGTGGACATTCACTAGACGAATCCTAACCCGCTGCCTGTGAGACCGTCTGCTTTATGTCAGTTGCTGTCTGAACTGACCGTCCTCATAGAATCGCGTCAGGCACAGAGAGTGGCCCAGCTACTGTGGCTCATTTGGGATATGATGTTTTTGTTTCACTTGAATGAATAAACTTATTATGATCCCATGTGAATGATCAGCTTAAAAATCTATTGCCATTTATTTTTATAAGATCTTGTTTATGATTCTCCTATCAAAACTGACATACTATTAACAGATGTCTTAATATACGGTAATTGTATATACTGATCGGATTTTGGACTTTTGCACAAGTAAGTTCTTTAAAAAAGGTGTAGCTGTTTAGTGGCTACTGGGCCTAGGGAGGCAAAAAGTTTAGGTGGCAAAAGACTGGGTGGTAAAATGCCAGTGGCAATGGGCCTACTGTAGGGTGGCAAAAGGCTAGAACCATATTTTTCCCCTGACCAGTTTCCTCTATGTTTATTATCCTCCGACTATTTGTAGTAGGTCTAGGTTCAAATTAGAACAAATATTTATAGTTATTAATTAGGTAAATATAAATTTAATTGCAAACTATTACATGTCACCTGTCTAATCACGTACAAGTTATAAACTGCTGATTAGCATAAGAATAAGATGCAGTAATTACCAAAGTGTTCGTATTTAATTAAAATTCATTGAAATTCTCACATCTGATTGGTTATCAGAAGAAAGAGGTCAATTTGCTAACTGTTAGCTGCCGCTAACAGTTAACCAATCCTGATCAGCACTCCTGATCGGGCTAATAGACTGCTGGCCCTCACACACACTGATAATAATTAACCTACGATAAGGTTTTATTTACAGAGAGCCCGACAGCGGCACACAAGAGCGACAAAAATGTTCTGTCGTATAGTTCAATCCATTTACACAGCGCACAACTGCAACCATGAAGCAAGCAACCCGTTTTTAGCTTGTTCTGCTGTCTACATGCCCAATGAAGGATGACCAGAACCAGTGATTGGTCAGAATATTTTTTTGTTGAACAACAGTTTTTTTTGTTTAAATAGAGTATTATTGTCGCGTCGCGTTCAGTGTGGATTACCATAAAGAAAAGGTTCTATTTGTTCTGCCGCTGTTGTGTGCCACCGTCGCACTCTTTGTAAATATACTTTTTCTGAACTATTACGAAGTAGTAATAGAAGCACTATAAAATGCTTTTACTGTAGAAGCTAGTGGTACCACATAAAGTGGAGCGTTCATAATGGACTTTCCACTATAAGTCACAGCACCTTGGTTAGACATTCTTGCTATGGTCCCACAAAACAACAGCATATTAACATACGTAAATAAAAATATGTGCATTTGTGGGACTACTACTGACTAAATTTGTTCTTCCTGGTCAGCTGTTAAATTGATTGACACTCCAAAAAGTCCATTCCTTTATCGAATACACACAGCACTTGAATAACACATTTAACACAAAAACACTCAAATAACAAGTGGAACTAATCCATATTTACATTGAATTAATTTTGGTTAAACCGTGGAGCTACAGAGTGAAAATAATCATGTACCTCCTGAAAATTTGGACCAAAACAAATCCAGAGCAAACAACCTGTGTATGTAATATTATCTTTGGAGGTATTATAATAAACTAAGTATAAAATATCTCCATGGTTACATTACAAAAAAAAAACCCTGTCCAGACTATCATGTTTTGATGAAAACATTTGATATGCCTAAATATGGTCATAATGACAACCTACCATGACCATATATAGGCACATCATGACTATATATGGGCACATCATGACCATATATAGGCACATCATGACTATATATGGGCATACAACAGTTTTTTGTGAAAGAACATTTGATGGTGTGGACAGAGCTTAGACGCGCAGCAAACTTAACAAAACTTTGGCCACACACAGGCCTGTATCCAGGGGGGAGGGTTTTATGGTTCGGGAGAACCCCCCTTTTCTACCAAACCCCCTCTTTTATGGCGAACCCCCTCTTCAAATTTCCCAAATAAGTCCTCCAACCCAACAAATGCACTGCAGACCCACCCAGACACAGATGTTTTCAAACATATCTGCTTTTATAGCATTATTTAGACCCATAAAACACAAAAATCCTCTTGCTTTGGGGGTTTTGCCAACCCCACCTGGGCTTCAACCGTGGACCTCACTCCGAGAAAAACCCCCCCCCCACCCTAGGAAGGACATTGGAAGGACCCGGCTACCAGACTGACACAGTTAAATCATCCTTGTTTGCACACTGTATTTTTTTTTTTATTTTACCACACATGTACATGTATAAGATTACTTAAAGGTAGACATTACAATTAAATTCTCAAAACAAAAAAATTTGAGAAAAAAAGTGTGCGGTAGGAGGCCAAAGTAAGTTTGTAAAACAAATTTCAAGTCATGACCACCAGTTAAAAGAAAAAAAAATTTTATTAAGAAATATGTAAACAAATTTTTAAAAAATAATAAATAAAAATATAAACAAATACAGTAGAGCATATGTAACTTCTGCTGACACGCTTCATAGAAACTATTTGTGAACACACTGACCACGTACTTGCAAAGTCTAATTATCTGTCGTTTAGCCTTCTATAATTCCAAGTATGAACAGCGGAATGATTTGACCAAATAAAGATGTCTTTGTCAAAATTGATTCAATGCAAACACGGTTTAATGCTCTCTCCACACTATCAAATTTTGTCACATATTTATGGGCCCATATATGGGCTTGGTGATATATTATACCCAAATATGGGCATATCACATTCTTTTGTTGACTAAAATTTGACAGCTTTGACAGGACCATGACAGGACTTCAGAATATGGAAGAAATTACATAAAACATACATTGTACACTGGATGCCAACATAAGTAGCGAACACCCATAAAAACTTAGATTATCACACCAACACCCCCACCTCAATTAATCAATCATTAATTTATATTTGAAATAAATAAATATAAATAATAGATTCGTGTATAAATTTACATTCAATTTCGATGCCAAAATATTTTGAAGAATGATCAAAATAACAAACTCTGAACTCTAGAAAAAAATGATCATTAATAAATATCTTAAATTTCTTTTTTCTTGTGAAGGAACCACAGTTCACAAAACTAAGGGATTACTTGTTGAATTGAATATTTTTCTTACTGTAATAACATATTCACA